TTTTGATAAAATTGGTGGGAATGAATCTCCATTTGAGTCACATTCTCATTTTCATTCTTCTACTTATTTCAACCACACATTTTTCAATAAAATAATATTTTCCATCACATCAATAACTTTTCCTTCTTTTTAACCACACATTCTCCATCAATCTACTATTTCAAAATGTATTCTTCCAAAATAATGTGGCTCACCCTTAATCTATAAAAGCAATTGAGGTGTGTTTCATACGTATTATTGATGAAACAATGTATTTTAAATAGTGATGTGATGTAAAATATGTAGTGAAAAAATAAAGAAAACTTTTGAATATGATGGAAAATATTATTTTATTGAAAAATGTATGGTTGAAAATAAGTTTTGAAAGAATATGAATCATATAACTAAATAAATAATTTTGCCAAGTCGGTCATTTCAATTCAATAGAGTTTGACTAGCAACAAGGATTGGGACCCACTTGTTTAGCTGAGTCTCAACATTGTACCGCTCAATAAATAATTAACTGTGAGATTTGATACGGAACAAGTTATGAAATTAGAAAAATGTTAGACGACCCGTATGGATGACCGCGGGGATGGTCGCGCCCTCATAGCCAAGGCGCGAGTCCATCCCGAATAAAATAATCCCAACCCCTCATGTGTGTGTGTGGTCACCGGCGCGATCACCCCCACGATTCCTGTAGCATAGCAAATGAAATTATAAGCAATGCTTGCAGCTTGCATTACAGGGCTGCTTCACAAACCCCTACAAAGTTAGACGCAAGGGGGTCACACAAGCACACACATATATATACTTAAATACTTTGAGTGGGGTCTGCGCTACAGTGAGTAAAAATAATTTCTGTACACCAGGAATTATTCATCATGAAATGCGTGGGAATGACAAAGATGGGACTGGACGGTGGGAAAAAATGGGTTCTTTTAGAACAAAGATAGCACGTGCATGTGGAAATCACACACGTGATTTTAAATTAACTAACAATCATCATTACTATTTACTAATAGCAAGACATTAGAAGCAGTTGGCACTTAAAAATTCAAATTTTAATATAAATCAAAATCAACAACTAATTTTAATCACAAATTTTATGAGTCCCACGACTTTTTAAACAACGTATTTTATCAACTTTTATAATAATCTACTAAAAATATGATTTTAATCCGCATGAAACGGAGTTATACACATGGAGCATCCAGGCAACCGAGAAATATTAACTTGGACGTTAAAATTACAAGTACTTCTCACTGGAGGATAAAATATTTAAGATGATTTCTACATGCCGATGATTTTGCTCGAAAAATTATCTAAATTTGAAGTTACCTTAGGTAAATGTGTTGTTCGAGTCAAGATATAATTGATGTTTATTATATCACATTTTAAAGTATGATGAATATGAAAAATTGTAATGAAAAACAATTGGGATATATTCTTCCAATAATTGAAGGATGAAACCGATTGAGTGAGTGTTTGGTGAGAATTAAAATTAAATTTTTAATAGACTGTGATAGAAATTTTTTAAATGCGTCAGTTAAAAAATTGTGGAACTCATAAAAAATATGGTTCATATTATTTGCTTGACTTTAATTTAATTTAAAATCTGATTTTAATCGCAGTTCTCTGCCTTTTGAGGCCATCCAGCGTTAACTACTTTCTTCACCGTCCTGTAACTCTACACTCACCCGAAAACCATTTCCTTTTGATATAAATACCGGCGCGCCCTATTCTCCTCGTGCCGTTAAAATGGAAGTTCTCCGTTTTGTCCCTGCGCAAGTACCTCTCCTCCGCTCCAAATTTACTAGCAATGACACTGTCAAAACATCCTCCGCCGCCGTTAGAGTAAAACCGATAATTAATGGCGCAGTGGCGAAACAGGCGGCGGAAATATTACCGGCCGTCGAAATGGATACATTAAGAGTTCCTTCAGCGGTGCCACTGTTGAGAATGTCTCCGGGCTCTCTGCAGTGCGAGACCGGTTATTTGATACCGAATATTCCAGATAATGGTGGGGTTAGTAACGGTTCTTTGAATGCCATGGAGTACTTGACGAATATTTTGGCCTCGAAGGTGTATGACGTGGCGTACGAGTCGCCATTGCAGCTGGCAACCAAGCTATCGGAAAGGCTGGGGGTTAACGTCTGGCTCAAAAGAGAGGATCTTCAGCCTGTATGTACCTTTTATGTTTCTCATTTTCTGTTGGTTGATACGATTAACATGGTTAAAAGATACAAGCTTGCCTGGTCTCAAATTTATTGATTTATTGGTACAATAAGTATGATTCTCTCTTCAAAATTTTAAATTTACTGATTATGGTGAAGTTTTAGAAATCTTCTAACTACTTCCTAGTTCAATTATCTTTCTTAAGGTTCATACATGAATTTAAATTTACTAGCTGTGAGCTTACTCATTTTCGGGATGTTCTTATTTTTATTCTACGAAATATCACGAGAAAATGTGAAGATCCTATGTTTATGGTGCGATACTTTGTTGACTAGAAATTGAGTTGATGAAATAAATTATTCTTGCTATTCTTTTGGATTGGCAGGTTTTCTCGTTCAAGCTTCGAGGGGCTTATAATATGATGGCAAAACTTTCAAAGGAACAGCTGGAAAGAGGAGTTATATGTTCATCAGCCGGAAATCATGCACAAGGAGTTGCACTATCTGCTCAGAGATTGGGCTGCAATGCTGTGATTGCTATGCCTGTCACCACACCTGAAATCAAGGTTATTACTTAATGAATCATGTTTACGATTCCATTATGGTTTTCCATGGATGTTCTTAATTCTATTGCTATATATTTATAGTGGAGATCTGTTGAGAGATTGGGAGCAACAGTTGTTCTTGTGGGTGACTCATACGATGAAGCACAAGCATATGCCAAAAAGCGGGCCGAGGAGGAGAACCGTATATTCATTCCTCCTTTTGATCACCCAGATGTTATCATAGGGCAGGGAACAGTTGGAATGGAGATTATCCGACAAATGAAAGGCCCAATACATGCGATTTTTGTGCCTGTTGGGGGTGGTGGGCTTATAGCTGGTATTGCTGCGTATGTAAAAAGGGTCTCCCCTGAAGTGAAGATTATTGGAGTGGAGCCATTTGATGCTAATGCAATGGCACTATCCTTGCACCATGGTAGGAGAGTTATGTTGGACCTAGTGGGCGGTTTTGCCGATGGTGTAGCAGTTAAAGAGGTTGGTGAAGAGACTTTCCACCTGTGCAGAGAACTGATAGATGGGGTGGTTCTTGTTAGCCGTGATGCTATTTGTGCATCGATTAAGGTTAGCTACCATTACTTTTGTTAAGGTTCTTCTTATCTTTTAATATCTTCTTGATTCTTCTTGGCACATGGTGTTTATTTGCTGCTTTGATTGGGGTTACCTCTGTGCATGGTGTGCTATATCGTACAAAAGTTATATTTTATTTTCTCGTTCTTGGTAGTTTATCAGCCGAAGAATTAAATTAAAAATAAGCTATAAAGTCATGACATTGGAACTTGAGGTTCTGGGAATTCTAGTTTTGTCCACTGAGCATCATGGAATTTTTCTTGTGAAAGCTTGGTTTGTCTTCAGTATTGTATCATTTTTTTTTCTTATTTAGCTACGTTTGCCATGCAAATGTTTGCATTTGATGCCATACTAGCTTTATTTCCTGTACATATTACAAGAATATGCTCTCTCTTAATATCCCTATGTCTATACCAGTTATCTGAAGCAACATACTCTATTTGGAGTTATCAGTATCCTCTCCTTTTTAGGTAAATATTTTTATTGGTAAATAATTGTGAAATTTACCTTCCGACCCAAAATGAAATGCCAACCACCTATGATGCACCAACACTCTCCTAGGATCGGAGAGTTGTGGGAGACCAACTCGATGACGAGACATGTTGGAAACGCCAAGTGGCACGTCCAAATTATTTTTTGGTTTTGAACAGTTGGACATGCCGCCAATTCGTTTGACACCTACACGACACCAACATGTTGGATACGTCAAGTGGTGTGACCATTTTATTTTTCAGTTTTGTATAGTTGAACAAGTCGCCTCCACATTATTGACACGTCGGGAGATACACTGACACATGATACTGACACGTTGTCGACACGTGTCGAAAACCCAAGGTGGCATGTTCTAATTATTTTTTGGTTTCGTATAGTTGGACACATCGCATGCACTCCGAGAGATACATGGTCGACACTCTGGAATTAAGAAACCAAATTTATTTTACAATAGAAAGAAGAAAAAATGAAAAGAAAAATTATTATTATATTATTCAAACTGTAGGGGATGTGTTGTTTCGGTATTTTCTTGAAAAATTGTGTGTCAACGTGTTTATGTCGTGTCATGTCCTACACTCATGTCCGTGTCGGTCCTTCCTAGCCAACCGCATTGTTGGCTTCCCTAGCAACCCCACAATACAAAGTACCTTGGTTCATTGGCTGTAGTTAGTATGCCTGCGAACTCTTTGAATTATAACAAAATTTTTATTGAATCCTCGGTGTATTTCTAAGGTCTGTCTCCTTACTCTTGGAAAGCCAATACATGATTAATTAAATGACAACTTGGTTCAGTTAGTTTAAGCACTCACTGATGAAAATGTAAATAGGATTTGCTTTGGTCTGATGACGCTTGAGAAGGTGCTATAGTAATGAAGAAATGATCCTTTATAATATGTCATCACCTACCATGTGCATTGTTCATACTGCATGGAATTAGCTTTCCAATTGACTGAGCTAGTTGTTATTTGCATCCCGTTGCTTCAGAATGATGTATAACTTGGGGCTTTGAATATTGAAGCTTGGAGTTTTAATGGGTTTTTCCTAAATTGCCTTTCTTACAGGACATGTTTGAGGAGAAAAGGAGCATTTTGGAACCAGCAGGCGCTCTTGCCCTTGCTGGAGCTGAAGCATATTGCAAGTACTATGGCCTCTACGATGAAAATGTCGTAGCAGTAACCAGTGGAGCTAATATGAACTTTGACAGATTGAGATTGGTAACTGAGCTTGCCGATGTTGGGAGACAGCGGGAAGCTGTACTTGCAACTTACATGCCGGAGGAACCTGGAAGCTTTAAGAGATTTTGTGAGCTTGTGCGTTGCTTTAATGTTCTTGAATACTTCCTTATTATTTCAACCGTAGTTTCAATTTTAAACAAGTACCTTTGATTGGTTGCAGGTGGGACCTATGAATATTATGGAATTCAAATACAGATATAATTCTGACAAGGAAGAGGCTCTAGTCCTGTACAGGCAAGATTACTATTTTCTTTCAATTTTCTGTTGAATGAAGTGCATTATTCGGTTATAATGAAGAAAACCTTTTTATGTCGGATTCGTTATTCTTTGAAACGTATTCTACTGAATGAGGTAACACATATTATGGATGGAAGCATACGCTTTAATCTGCCTAAGAACAAAAGTTTGATAATCTGACTCATTTCAGATAGTTTTCTTTTCTTGTTTTGTACAGTGTTGGCCTACACACAAAACTAGAACTTGAAACGATGGTGGAAAGGATGAAATCAGCTCAGCTACATACTGTTAATCTGACAGATAATGACTTGGTGAAAGATCACTTGCGACATTTGGTAACAATCTCTCTAAATCTCTCTCTCTCTCAAATATGAATTATAAGGCTTCATCTATAATGGGCTCTTGTTGATCAAGTGAACTGTGAAGCATGTTGTTCATTCGCTTAGATTTGTATACACGAGTTTATCCTATATTCAAGTTTTTGGACACTGCGCTTTTCTTTGCAGCAAGGGTGAACCATTGCATTTGCACTTCTCTTTTACCTACTGAAAGGGAGTGGGAGGTTTATTATTGAAATTTCACATTTAGACTTAACACGGTTGCCAACAGAAAATGCACAAGGTGCAAGAGTTCATGAAGTTATAAAGAGGTCATGCTTAAGTAAATTGCTGGACATTATAGTTTTTGAGCTGATGAGAAGGTCTCAGAAGTTACTTAGGTAATAAATCACTGGACAAGTTGGTCAGGCTGGTTTGAGACACAGCTTCATGTTGGTAATTTTGATATTAAGGAAAGAGAAGGATGGAATATGATACCTGTCTCCAGTTTAATGGAGATCTTCCTCGGCATAGAAGTTCCATGCATTTTTAGCTTGTTTTATTTTCGAAGTTTTTGCATGTGATTGATATCTTGATTTGGTCAGTGCATGTGCTCATCTGTAGTACCGTATAAGTTACAATGGTATTTCACTTAAAGAGAGAAAAAAATTCAGGTTTAATAGATATGATGTTTTGAGGGTAATTGGCTAGTTGCTGATCTGAGTATTTTTTATTTGGCAGCTCAGTCCTCTGGTTGTACACTGCTTTATACACACTACATTCATATTGAATGACTTGTTTTCAGAGTCAAATGATAACCTTGGGAATATTTTGGGTCAAAAAAAGTAATAAACTGATGCAAATATAGTTTCAAAAAGCATCCATACTACTGTAGAACCTATAACAAAATCATTCAACCTCGGATGCAGTAGTTGTGTAAAATGAGATGCAAATATGGTTTCAAAACACATCCATATGACTGTAGAACCTATAACCAAATAATTCAATTGTGGATGGGCGTTTGTGTGAAATGCGATGCATTTGTATTCCAACCTACCATTGATTCATTATATACAAATTGGGTAATTATATAGCCACCACAATTTCTAATTGATACACTCCATTTTAATTACAGTTAAGCTCCTTAATCTTTTCTCATTGTAACAATTATTTTCTTAATTTTTTTTGTCGAATTCTGATCTCCAACCTTCCATTAATTCGCACTTCTCGTCCTTGATGATAATTTATAATCAAATATTTTATTTTCCTACTTTGATTATTTATTTACTTTTTTAAAATACGATGAAAAAATTCTTGAACATAAAACTGTTATCAAATACAAAATGTGTTAACTAATGAAAAGTTTAACGATAAAAATAACATGAAAAACCGTTAGGGATATAAGTACTATAATGAGCAAAGATTAAGAACCTTAAGTGCAATTAAAATGTGATGTAAGAAATAAAAATTGTAGTGTGAATATAATTACCCATACAAATTTCTTCCTTCTACATTTTAAATATCATAATTAGAAATGCATTCAATTTCTGAATTAAAAATGAGCTTGCATGTCCATGTACCTTTTCAATCATAAGTTATATGTTTCTTCCATTGAAGAATCTGCTGTTAACCAAAATTATGGCTAAGCTGTTAAAATTGTTTTTCTCACTTCCATATAATATTTCAGTCTTTAGCAGTCAAGTAATGCACATTTTAATAGACAAGGAAAATGCTATCCTTACCAGCAGATTTGGTGGCTGAAGGTTGTGTGATTTCTTTTACGCTTTAACACACAAACTTTGAGAGGTAAATCACTATTCCACACAATCGTGTAGGCGGATATTTATACTGACATTATTCAGCTTGTACAATATTACCAAGATAGGTGCTTATGTATTGCCGTAAAAACATATGTGACAATGTACCAATAACCTCCCATAAAGCATGAAATAGAACCAAACAAAAACACCTCTGCACGAAGCAAGAACCGAAGAGTGATATATACTGGGATACTAATTTCATAGTGAGGACACTTTGGTGGACACATACAGCTCTAGATTTTCTTGGAAAGCAATCAGTGGTACTCTTATGCAAGTGGTGACTTGATGTACTATTTCACGTCAAAATTCAGAACATCAAATACTATTTTGTATCTCTGAAAACCTTTAGTTTTTCTCTTTTTATGAGACATTTGAATGGATAACATTACGTAAAACCTTCTGGGTTATTCTTGGCCAATCTTGTTCAGAAAGTCGTTTACGGTAGCTATAAAATTCAAATACAACATTTTTCTGCCTGATAATTAGCAAACTTGACAGTTACTGAGTTGTAGATATACTTATTAGGAATTGGGTAGCAGTTCAACTTTGGTGGAGAAGTTCATAAAATATTATGAAGGTGATGATGAAAATCCATCTGCACAGAGCTAAATGAATGCCGAGGTTTTGATATGGGCAATTCACTTTGAAGTGCTGGATCCATTGATTTTCAAACTTGTCTAGACATTTAATTTTAAGACGTCTGTAATTATGCATGGTGTAATTTTATAACTCATTCTTTTTGAGTTGGTTTTGAAATAAATTATAGATTGTTGACACAGAGATAGTTATGACTCTTCATTCTGTTGCTCTTACGCCAGTAAAAAACATCTTTTGTGAATTAATTTAACTGTGGATTGCCTCATTTCTGAAATAGTCTGCTTTCTGCACTGTTCAAGATGTTAATAGCAATTGATGAAGAGTTGAACCTGAATAATTGACTGAATTAATGTTGAATTGGAAAGAATTTAAACATAACCCTCTTGATGGAATATGGATGCATATTGTCAATTATGTCACTTGCAGTGTGTGCATTGGCATTGCATCATATTGAGCTGTCAAAACACTTTTATCACCTTTTCTTAAGCCTCGTGTAGAACCCTACAAAGACCCTTCCACTTCTGGTCAGCAAAAGGTAAACTGAAAGAGTATCCAATAACAATATATGAACGTTGGCCATTATAGGTTGCATTTAGTATATAGACTAGGCATGCTAATGGTGAGCCCTGGGCTACAGTTAATTTCACTCATTGAGTGTAAATGGAAATGTCTGTTCTGGACTTTGAAGATTGTAAATTTGATCTTGATAGCTTTTGAAATTTATTTTGTCCTTAGCTTTCTATTCATCCTAATGTCGAAATATTCCTTTACATAGATTAATTGGGCTATAGTTGATACTTTTTTTTGTATATGATTAGTGGCCACATATGCAAATATTGTAGATCATCACTTAGGTCCTTGACTGAAAAGGTAAATTTCCTACATGGATAGCTCGATTATGAAACTCGTTAAAGTAATCAGTTTACTAGTTGACTTCAGTTTGGATCTCTTTCAGATGGGAGGCCGATCAAATGTTAAGAATGAGCTTCTTTGTCGATTTGTTTTCCCCGAGAGACAAGGAGCTTTGATGAAATTCTTGGATGCTCTAAGTCCACGTTGGAATATAAGCTTATTCCACTACAGGGGACAGGTTGCGATCTCCTAGCTTGTCTTCATTATTAGTACCATTTTCATGCATGTATTAATGACGCCATTTCTGCTGCTATTATTTCTTAATTGACCGAATTCACTGTCTCTACAGGGAGAAACTGGTGCAAATGTGTTGGTAGGTATTCAAGTGGCTCACTCTGAGAGGGATGAGTTCCGTTCTCGTGCAAACAGTCTTGGATACGAGTATGAAATAGAAAGCACCAATGAAGCATTCCAGCTTTTAATGCGATGAAAACAGTTCTTTGTTATATAAAGTGGATTGATTTATTCTTAATCTGGTCGGGTTTATAATTATCCAAGGTAATTTGCTGAAAGAATGTATCTTTCACATCATCTGTTAGGGCAGATAAGGGATGTGTCACTTTTTGTTGTCTACCTTTCTTTAGTCTTGTATGTGATTATGCTTATTAGCATTTGTTCCAAAAGCTAACAATGTTATCAATTTATTGAATCTGATCTTTCTGGATGAATTGATAACATTCATCCCTTATTTTTAATCCAACTCTATCAGTGGCCTTGCAATATTCATCAGTCTTTTGGTGTAATTGATAATATTTTTTACCGTGGTCTCAAAACAAATGCAGAAAACAAGTCTCGGGTGTGAATGAAACATCTGCGTCTTTACTTAAATCTTTCGTTCTCGGATGGTAACTAGCTTTTTATGTGTAAGAAAACTTGCTTGGCCTGTGGGTGAATTTGGATAAGATCAAAGATTCTTCTTTGGCTGCAATGGTATATCTTGTGAAGTTGAACAGATATGACGTGTAGATTATCTTACAAGCATAAGCATACACTCTTCTTACATGTAAAAGTGCATTAAGTTTTGGGCAATGTTATATAAGCTGGTGTTGCTCATTTTCTGCGTTTCATGCGTAGTTATTTTTTATATTTGAAACTTACCCTTACGAATTGTTGGTCCTTCGTTTTTCTTGGAAGCAAATCTTGTATCTTGGAAAGGCAATTTTGGCATCAATTCTTCGTTTGGAAGCAAAATTTGTAGCTTTGGGAAGGCAATTTTGGCAATAATTCTTGTGTGTCTGCCTAATTGAAAAGGGCAGCAATTTGGTGTGATCATTATCTTGGGCAGACGAATTTTTAAGTTAAGGTTTTTAGCACAGGTTTACAATAAATTAACATGCTCTTTTATTTTATTTTTTAACCTTTACATTCTATTTTTCGCTCTATATTTTGTACAAAGAGTGAAAGTATTAGGTGTGATACTTGGGAATTTGGAGAGAGAGTATATGATTGTTACAATTTTTCATAGGATAGATATTTTTTTTCATAAATCTTTGTGTTGTTATCTATATATTTTTTATTTTTATCTATATTATATTGAATGTCTCTTGGAGTGTTCGTATAGAGAAGATATATCAAGTGTCAAATATGACGTGGAGAAGTTTGACGGAGAAATCAATTTTGGCTCGTCACAAATGCAAGCTAAGAATGTTTTGATTCAATTTGAATTGCACGAGAATTTAAAAAAAATATGTACAATCTGGTCATGTCAAGAAAAAGTCCTAAAGGTCCAAGTAAGGACAATGTGTCTCTCTCCTTGAGAGATCGTGATATCAATTAATAAAGTATGGTGTCCTTGTGGCTAGCCTCTAGTTGACATGATAGATGATTTGTTATTGCTAAGAAAAATGATATTCATCCCTATTGGAGATGCATCTCCAATCTATGTGGATGTAAATGATTGGTTAAATAATAAGTAAAATTAAATGACTTATTTAATTTCATCTATCATTTAATATCAAGTTAACGCCACATAGACTGGAGATGCATCCCCACTGGGGATGAATAGCATTTCTCTATTGCTAATAGATTCATATGTTTGATGCACATGACTCTTGAACTCCCAAGAAAATCAAGGGGGGCGTGGCAATTTTTGTCAGATTTGTTTGACATGAGTCGGTTTAAATTCTTAGAATAAGTGGCGAATTGAAAAGGAAGCAATTTCGTATGATGAGCAGACCAATTTTTGGGTCAATAAAAAGGATTATTAAGAGGAAAATTTATAAAATAAGTATTTTAGTTTTTCTTGTTCTCTTTGTGATTTTGTACAAAAAGTAGAAATGTTAGGTGTCGTAAAGTGCAGGTATCTAAGACATTTTTTGACCCTCGACTACCTCTCTATCAATCATGGGCTTCTTTTTGTCACAATGTCTAGCGATCATGCATATCAACTCTTTGATGATCTAATGTAAATCAACACTCACCGAGAGAATTATTTTTGTATATACAACTCTGCCATTGAATTTGAAAGATTTGCTTTGGGGACAGGCTAAGTATACTCAAGTAGCGCGCTTTTCTTGAGAAACTTGCAATTACTCTGAAATCGTAAGCACCATTATTCTGTAGAAATTGCTGTCGAACAATAAGTTCGTATCTTACACATGTTCAGTTGCGAGTGCAACAAATATTAAACAATAGTTAGAACCGCAGGATTTATTTTTGCTAATGTAGAAAAAGGAAAAAAAGAGAGAACTATTCATGAGAAACATGTTTAGGCCATCTTAAAGTGTGCTAACTTTAACTGAAAACTTTGTCCCCATTCTAAAACCAACTGACCAAAATAGAAAATTTGAACTCCTTTTCTTGTTTAGAAATCCTATGGCTTTCTGATGATGATAAATTCAGTTCATTTAACTGCAACATAAGGTGCTAAACATGTTTCCTCAGCTGAAAAATTTGGACCCGACTTTGACCTTTATTCACCAGAGCCCTCTATAAATTCTCCCACCCTGCTCCTGTTCCATTCAGTCATCAGTTGTTACTTGTTATTTACCACCACCACCAGCACCTCGGCCGCTGGCCACCACCTGGAGCTCATTAAAAGAGTTTCTTTGTCTTTCCCTGGTTGCAAAGGAAAAAATATGGGATTCTTAAAGTGTGTAATAGGTGTATTTCTAGCTGTTTCAGTAGTGTTGTCTGTTCTTGGTGATCCTTTAGTTCCTGCATTGTGCATTTTTGGAGATTCTGTTGTTGATGTGGGAAACAACAATAATTTGCAAACACTTATAAAGGCCAACTTCCCTCCTTATGGAAGAGACTTCGTTACTCATAAACCTACAGGAAGGTTTTGTAATGGAAAGCTTGCCACAGATTTCACTGGTATGTAGTTTTTCTTAACAATTTTATCATCTATTTGTTTCTCTCTCTACTCTCATGCATGTATTTTCATGTATATTCGCAGCTGAGTACCTTGGATTCACTTCATATCCACCTGCTTATCTTAGCCAAGAAGCCAAAGGAAGGAACATCCTCACTGGTGTCAACTTTGCTTCAGCTGCTTCTGGTTATTATGACATAACTGCACAGCTTTATGTAAGCACATGATACTAACATGTATGCATATATAAATATGTGTACATATTCTTTACATGGTTTTGTATTTGCAGAGGGCTGTGACATTACCACAGCAGCTTTCATATTACAAGGAGTGGCAAAGCAAAGTGGTGAGTTTGGTGGGGAAGGCCAAAGCTAATGATATATTCTCTGGAGGAATCCACCTTATAAGTGCAGGAAGCAGTGATTTTATCCAGAATTATTACATCAATCCAATGCTTAACAGACCCTACTCACCAGATCAGTTTTCAGACATTCTCCTCAAATCCTACTATAACCTCGTACTGGTAATAGCTTTAAGATTAGGTGCTTCTACATACTTCTAGAGCAAATCTCAACTTCTTTGGTGAAAACCTGAATCCAGCCTACACAAGGCCGTGTTGAAGACGGACTTTAAATAAATTTTATGTCTCGTATTTAATAGTTTAAACTTTTAGATGAAGTAATTTTAACGAGTTTCTTGGGACAGGATCTATATGATCTGGGGGTAAGGAGAATTGGAGTTACAACTCTACCACCAACCGGATGTTTGCCAGCCGCCATTACTCTATTTGGTTCAGGAAGCAACCAGTGTATTCAAAGATTGAACCATGATGCTGATTCATTCAACAACAAACTCAACAGCACATCCATAAATTTGAAGAGCATACTTCCAGGACTCAAACTTGTGGTCTTTGACATTTACAATCCTCTGCTGGAGCTCATTATGAAGCCCACTGATTATGGTATTAACTTTAATCATAAATATACAAGTTCGTTCTCTAACAGTTTTAAGCAGCACTGGTTTCAAATTTCACTGCCACATTCTTGAAAATTGGCGGCTCTCTAATAGCTCGAGCTTTTGTGCAGGATTCTTTGAATCAAGGAAGGCTTGTTGTGGGACTGGTACAATCGAGACATCATTTCTATGCAATGCAAATTCTGTTGGAACATGCAAAAATGCTACAGAGTATGTGTTCTGGGATGGATTCCACCCATGTGAATCTGCTAATGAAAAGATTGCCCAAAGTTTACTGGAACAGGGATTTGATCTCATCTCTTAAGCCCACCAATAGTTGCACCAATAACCTGTTTTCCAGTTTAATGATATCTTACATGTTTTATAGGGTTTACAAATGTTTTTATTATCTAAATTTGGTTGAAAAATAGGATCAGGTTGAGCTATGTTATGTAAGAAACTGGTTTCAATCTTTGGGTCGATAGTAAAATAAAATTACAAGCAAGTTATTTTCTTGATGTAACTATTCATGCGTTCTCTAGAATAACATACCATTATCGCGATTATAGATGTATAATTGGACGATTCTTGATATTTTTCAAAATCATGCCTATTGCCTCGTTGCCAAAGAAATGTTTGGATGATTATGGAAATGAACCGTTTGCGACGATCATTCCGTTAAAATATCACATGAATTTGGCACGGTCATTTTTTGATCGATTAACTTGTTATAATAGGCAGGTCATGTCGGATTAAATAATTTAGCCCGACCAAATCTATTGAAAAAAATTTAAACCTAAAACTTAAAAAAACTGTTGTTATTTTATTTTTTCAAAAAAATAAAATAAAGAAGATACTCTGGGTTACCAACCCGAGCAAAACCGTGTTTAGCAGTAGAGTATTAATCGTCAAATTCTACCCAGAATCAGTATACTTCTTGTCTTTCACTTTCATGGCGGCCCTTATCCACCAGTACCACCATCCCGCCACCACCCTCTCTGCCTCCTCTCAACCCCAATCCCGTCACCAGGTTTCCAACTCCATTGCTCTACTACCACCTCAGGTATCATCTTATCTTTCTATCTCCAAACCACCTACTTCTCTCTCTCCTCCCAAAGGCCCACTCTTCTCAAACCCACCAGTTGTACTCTCCAAGCTACCATCTTTTCAACCCATTTTGACTCCGAAGCCACCTGAAACCTCTCAAACATCATCGAACCATGAGTTTCCTCATTTACTGAGATTATCTGTCTACTACACTGATGTTCAATTTAACAAAATGTTCCATGCCTCAATTCTCAAGATTGAGGAAGACACTTATTTATTCAATGCTCTCATTGCATCTTATCTCAGATTGGGTCAAATAAATCATGCTCATAAAGTTTTTAGAACCCTTTCAAGCCCAGATGTTGTGTCCTACACTGCAATGATTTCTGGTCTTGCCAAGTTGAATCATGAAATTGAAGCTGTAAGACTGTTTTTTGAGATGAAATGCTCAGGTATTGAACCAAATGGGTATACTTTTGTTGCTTTATTAACTGCTTGTATGCGTTCGTTGGATTTAGAGTTGGGTTTCCAAGTCCACGCCTTCTTGATTAAAACGGGTTATTTGGATTGCACTTATGTTGTGAATGCGCTTATGGGATTGTACAGTAAATGCGGTTATCTTGATTTTGTTATCGATTTGTTTGATGATATGCCTAAAAGGGACGTTGTATCTTGGAATACTGTGATTTCTTGTCTGGTTAATGAACGTATGTACGATAAAGCATTTGAATTGTTTCGCATTATGTTGAGACACAATGGTTTTAGAGTGGATTCTTTTACACTTTCAAGTCTCTTGGCTGCTTGTGCGGGATGTCTTGCAATGGGGGAAGGCCGAGAAATTCATGCATATGCTTATAAAATTGGGTACGAGAGCAATATGAGTGTAAATAATACACTAATTGAGTTCTACTCCAAATGCCGGAGTGTGAAAAATGCTGTGACTTTGTTTGAGAGGATGCCTGTGAAAGATATTTTCACATGGACTGAAATGATTACGGCATATATGGGATGTGGACGTGTTGATTTGGCTGTGGACATCTTTGACAAAATGCCCGAGAAGAATTGCGTCTCCTACAATGCTCTTTTTGCAGGATTTTGTCAAAATGGCGAGGGCTTCAGGGCTTTGGGATTGTTTTGTAGAATGGTGGAGGAAGGCATAGAGTTAAATGATTTCACTTTGACAAGTGTTGTAAATGCTTGTGGATTGATTATGGATTGCAAGATCAGTGAACAGGTTCATGGGTTTGTGCTCAAATCATATTTTGATTTAGATGATTGTACTGAGTCGGCGTTGCTTGACATGTGCACCAGATGTGGTCGAATGGATGATGCTGAAAAGATATTCAATCAATTGCCGCTGAATCAGAGCAATTCAATTAATTATACATCATTGATTTGTGGATATGCTCGAAATGCTCAACCAGAAAAAGCAATTTCTTTAGTATGCCAGTGGCAAAACGAAGAGTATAATTGTATGGACGAAGTTGCATTAGCTTCGGTACTTGGTATATGTGGAGCATTGGGGCTTCAGAAATTTGGCGAACAAATTCATTGTTATGCTTTAAAACATGATTTCCTGTCTGATATAAGCGTGGGGAATGCCATAATTAGCATGTACTTTAAGTGTGATGACATGGAAAAAGCAATTAAGGGCTTCAATATTATGCCTGCACACGACACAATTTCATGGAACAGTTTGTTGACTGGACATATCCTTCATAGGGAAGGGGAAGAGGCCTTGGCTGTGTGGGGGAAGATGCAGAAGGCAGGAGTACAGCCGGATACCATTACATGTGTCTTAATAATTTCAGCTTATCAACACACTAACTCAAATTTAGTTTCTCATTGTCGTGATTTTTTTCTCTCAATGAAATCCATTTACCATATCGAACCCAATTCAGAACATTACACCTGCATGGTTATTGTTTTAGGTTATTGGGGTCTTCTCGAGGAAGCAGAGGATATAATCAACACGATGCCATTTGAGCCAAATGCTTCTGTCTGGCGAGCGTTGCTTGATAGTTGTAGATTACATCTGAATGCAACAATGGGGAAAAGGGCTGCTAAGAAAATATTGGCAATGGAGCCACAAGATCCATCTACATATATACTAAAATCAAATCTTTATTCTGCGTCTGGTAGGTGGCACTGCTCGGAACTTGTTCGTGAAGACATGAGGGAAAAAGGGTTTCAAAAAATCCCTGGCCGGAGTTGGATCGTTCATCACAATGAGGTTCATTCTTTCTTTGCTCGGGATAGATCACATTCACAATCTAAAGACATTTACAGTGCACTTGGGATACTATTCTTCGAATGCTCGAAAGCTGGTTATGTACCTGATACAAGCTTTGTACTCCATGACGTAGAGGAGCATCACAAAAAGAATTTTTTGCTGTACCATAGTGGAAAACTAGCAGCCACCTTTGGGCTTCTAACGACCCTGCCGGGAAAACCTGTTCGGGTCATGAAAAACATCCTTCTCTGTGGAGACTGCCATACATTCTTGAAGTATGTTTCAACCCTTACTAAAAGGGAGATACATGTAAGAGATGCTTCAGGTTTTCACTATTTTTCTAATGGTAAATGCTCATGCAAAGATTACTGGTGACAAAATTTTAGTTTAATTTGTCACAATTCGAATATTTAGGGTGTTTTCAGTTTATTCTTTTACTTTTGGTGTTAATTGTACAAATATCTGAAGCTATTGTAAAATATATGTGAACTTACAAATGTTTTAAATTTAAACTGATAGAGAAATGTTCAGTTATACTCTATGGCCTTTTACTCACTTATCTGATGAATTGATGGACATTATTGCTTAATTGCTGAAGAATAAGGTGATGTCTTGTGTTTGTGATTATACTTTATGCAAATCACTTGAAAGACAGATCTTAAAAGGTAATTTCACGTAAGCTTGGGAAATTGAAAATGGAGATCGACAATATGTTCGGTACACTATGTTATAGAATAAGATATAATTCAGTATTCCGAACATATCACAAGAGAACCTCTGTACTTGTCAAAGAAACATGATAAATCACTCAAAATCTTGCTTTTCTAATATTTAGTAATATCATCTTGTGGAAGTGTAAATAACTAACAATCATGAATTGGCGTAGAATAATTGTTTTCAACGCATAAATCTACCAGGCAATTGGTTTAAAGTTCTTAAAAAACATCTAAAATTGAACAAATCCTAGAGCAAAACTACCTTATAATTCACCAAAAGTTTGAAACATAAAAACTGATAGTTCCTAACAAACAGCTTCAACAGCTAGCCTTTTCCTTTTCACTGATGATCTGCAGCCACTAGGTCCAAAAGTTTGTTCAGATACATCAATTGAGCAACTTTCTTTGCCAACACATGCCTGCAAATTATATAGAGCAAAATGTGATAAATGGATAGGCAAATTGAAGTTAAAATAAATACATAAAGAGGAGAAAATCCAAAAACTTACACGTTCCACCATTGATAAGCTTTTGGGAGAATGGCAGCTTCCTTTCCTAAGAATTCCATAAACTTTTCTTGGATCACCGAAGCTAGCAAATTTGATATCGGATATAACTCGACCACCATTACATGACAAGTTCAAGCAATTCCCTTCATAAGCATGGCCAATAGCTTGGCCAACTGTTACAGTATTAACACTTACATTCCTAGGATCCCCCCCGAACTCTTCAAAAAGAACCAAATCGTTCTCTTCGTTACGTAAGAAGGAACGTGGGACATGGTACCTATAAAAAATGAGTAGTTAGTAACAAAATAAAATTCAACTGACAAGAAAAAGCTAGTAGAAAATCATGTACCATCTTTGTGTAGGTTGTCCACAGCCAGTCGTGCATTTACTACTGTAATACGATCCACGATAGTCACAAGATGTAGAACAGCCATTATTATCAGCAATAATGCTGGGCCAATATCGGCCAATATCATGTCCATTCACCCAAGCAGTTCCTTTTCCAAGTCCCCACAAGTCTAGAACAACAGGTTCTTCACCCCTTGGAGTTCTGAAGGTTGTCTACAACAAATTTTGATTTCAATTAGTGATGTATACTTTTCTGGACCAAAACCATTAACATACAGTACATAGTATCTCGTGAAGTACCTTGTACCAAACAAACTTCCTGTTGAGGGGAATATTAGGATGCCACTTTCTTTTCTTCCCATTTTCACTGAAAAGTTCTCGTTCAAAACCAGTCAATCCTACCTTGAAGGCCCATCTATTGTTCGTTAAGTCCTTCTCTTGACTGTTCGGCGCAATTATTTTAACCGGACCAATGATTCCATTTTGTGTATTGTCATAATGGTCACCATAATTCTGTTCATAATAGAAAGAAGTTACAGCAGACTGTACCACGAACTTTTAAGAACACTTACAATTCTTACTTGCAGTCCAACTGTGACACTGAGCAAAGAAATTTGGTTTATCCCCTTCTTTATCGTAGCAGCTCTCTCAAACCAAAAACTGTAACTCCCACCCTGTGCATATTTAGTTCCTGATATCGCGGATCGTGTTATTTTTGGCAAGAGAAAATGAGCAGAATTATGTGCAAAAAATAAGCAAGAATTACCTATATGCTTGCCATTGACAAATGCATGAAGGATATGGCCACTGTTCTGAACTTGTAAATTGATATCTTCGCAGCAGACGGGATCATCTTCATCAATCTCAAAACTATATGAAATCAACAGAGTTATTAACGACAAATTCAAATGTATTTGGCCAAAGGAAAGATAATTTTAGTTAATTACATTACAAAGAGATCAAATGATCAATACCTTGTCATGTACCATAAGTAATCACTGGTATCATTTGTAACAAGTTTCTGATCAAGGAGTTGATTAGCAGAAGTAACACCCTTTAAAGGGTGGGCTTTGAGGTGCTCAAATTTCTCAACTCTCCAAGACCATTCCAAATTATAATGACTTTTTTCTTGTGCTTCATCAGGGAGTTTCTTCACCATTACAGATGTTTGAGTACTAACCTATCAAATGATAAAAGGTCAATTTAGTATTTTCGAAAGTATTAATGAATTAGTGTGAGATTAGCACTTACCCGAGCCGTGTTGTAAACTTCAGTTTTACAGTCGGGAAGAATGCTGACAGACCAAGCTGGAACAGTATAGTTTGTGCCTTCAAAGTTGATTGTTATAGCATCATTCTGATTTGCATTGCCAAAAAAACATACCCTTGTCCCATCGTAATTATAGATTGTATGCTGAAAGTTGAAACAAAAAGTTAGTTTGCTTAATCTTGCAATATTTTTTTACAGAAAAACCGAAACAAAAAGGAAAATGCATATACTTACAGACATCATATTTCCGTAATCTTTGTTTGTCACGTTACCGTAAGTTAAAATCTTCTCTATCGACATGAGATGGGAATGTAGCTCCTTAAGATGTCCATATTTGGGCTGGTTCGGTTCACCTAAAACATCAAACCAAATTTATAAAACAATTTTACCATATGAACAAAAATGAAATTTACGAATATGATTGTTTGATTACCATATTCATTGAGGGGTGCATCATAATCATATGTTGTTGCAATATATGGTCCCCCGGATACTCGGCCAAAATTAGTACCACCATGATACTACAAGTCGAATTTCAATATTAGCAAGCATATATTTGGAGTCGACTACATAATATATAGAGAAAGACACACAACAAATTGATTGACAAACCATATAATAGTTCTGCACTGTGCCACCATATTGATAAAACCGGCCAACTGCAAAAGCAACATCTTCTGCAGTTCTATGAGGATTTTTGTCACCCCAGCCCTTGTACCTTAAAGTAAACAAATCCATGCAAGATCAGAAACATCAACAAGGAAATCAAAGAAAAAAATATAAGAAAATAATTTTGAAGCAGCAAATCTTGATACAAACCAGCCAGTCCAATTCTCAGTCCAGATCTTTGGAACATTATTATTGTTAGGAGTAAATTGATCGCAATAATACCCGTTACAAGTGTTAATCTGTAAGAAGATAGAACATCAAAATTGTGAGTAATTAATCAAGTAAACGAACTAAACTACGAATAATTAAGAATAAATAAGATGGTATCTTATTCATACCATTGGTGATGGAGCATCATCCTCTTGACACATGATCCAAGGGACACCAACGTTCAGAGACTCGGCAAAGTTAGCACACCAATTCACGTATGATTTTCCGTCCGCTCCATATTTACCGATAACATTTCCATATTCATTTTCTATCTGTTGTTAATTTCAGATGCAAAAGTAGATATGGAATATCAAGAAACCTTCTAAGTTCAAACTTAAACAACTAAAGGCATAGATAATTAAGGCAGTATAATTACAAACCTGAGAAATTATAATTGGTCCTCCTTGATTAGCAAAAAGATTTTCATCTTTCATCTTGTCGACGATCATTGTAGTGAAAATTTTCATTTCATTCTGAGATAGAAAATCAAAAAACAGTGAACATAAGAAAATAATTATGAGAAAAACGATGAATGGGTTAAAGAAGCCGATCAATTTACCATGTAGGCATCATTTTTAGTCCTGAAGACCATGTTAGGTATGCTTTTTAACCAAACTGGAAGCCCTCTGCAGGAAATTAGTCAAGTTTATGGCCTTAAATCAAGCTATATTCATTAAATAAAATATCAAATCTTGAGTTTTGTAGGGTTTATGGATACCCATAGTTCCATTCTGCACAAACATATGGTCCAATTCTGAGAATTGCATAAAGCCCTGCATCTTGAATTGTCTGGAGATACTTCACGAGGTCTAAACTCCCTTCAAAGTCATACTGAAATCCATGCATGAAGAAAGAGTGAGTTACAAGTATAATCAATTTCAAGTCGTATCGCACATAAACAATGTCCATATAGCAAACATTTGTTACTAATGTAGTTAACTTCATTAAAAAATATAACAAACCTGTCGATATAGAGGCTCGTGGGCATTCCAAAACACGTATGTTTCAATTGCATTAAGACCTCCCTCTTTGGCTTTCTTCATCAATGATGGCCACATCTGCAAAAAATAATACGTCAATTAACTGTTAATAATCAATTCATACCATTAATTCTTCATTTGTTTTCACTTTTTATGAATGCATATGCTTATGTTTGTACCTCAGGAGTACTGCGAGGATAATGAATGGCGCCAGAAATTATAAGTTTTCTTTCACCATCGATCTTGAGAGCTCTTCCATCGTAAGTAACCTCAACAGCATTAGAAAAAAGGTAAAAAGAGAATAAAATTAACGTCGCCACCAAAATTTTGTGCCACCCCATCACTGTTTTAGCTATGAAGAACGATGAAAATGATGAAGTAGCATGGGGAATATTTATATTAAGATTAGCAGAATTTTAAAATAATAACACTACTGTGAAACATAATCTTGAAGCATATTCATATCTATCTATATGAGTTTTATGGTAAGCACAACATGTTTATGATAAATGTCAATAAAATTTCAAGATATCATCAACCTTTTTTATTTATTTATTTTGCATCTTCTTTTTTAGAGATGTCTAAATGGATGCAAATACAATGGTTAATTAATGAGTAGTTATTAAATAATAAGAAATAATAAAAAAAAACTAGTGCAATTAAAATAAATAAGAGATGTAAGTAATACGTTTTTGAAAATTAAATTGTAGCCCGTTTGGCTAAAAAATTATATTTTTCGTAAATTTTAACTAAAAGTTGAAGAAATGTGTGGCTGAAAAGTTGACAAAAGTTGGGAGTCGTATAAAATATTTAGTTGAAAATGAGTTTGAAAAAAAAAAATGAATTTTTAAAAATTTGGGATCAGGCAGGAGCTTAGATTNGTTGGTAACATGATTTTTGGAAAAAAAAAAAAAAAAAAAGACAAGAAAAGAAAAAAATCCACATTTTTATTATTTGGAAATATCTTAAATTTTTTCAAGAAATTGTAAAATTTTGTAATTAACGGTCACTCCTCAAAAACCGATAGACAAGGATGAAAAATGCAAATTTGATCTTAAATTAGATATTATCATATCATTATTCTTTCTTTAGTATGATATCAATTAATTATTCAATTCCCATGGTGATCTGGTAGAAACTTCAACCTCATTTTTATGATAATTGTGACTTTCTCAAAATTTTCAATTCACTAATGTAATCCCGTATATTGAAATTTTTTAATTCACTTATACAATCTCGTCAAGAATTTTAAGATATCGGTTTTAAATTAATACCAACGTGATCGTAAATGTGCGACCTTTAATATTTCATAGTAAAATTTGGTATCGAATCTACTACTCAATTTCTTACATAATTGTAACCTTAAAATCACTAATATTAAGATTTTATAAACAACTAACATGTTTAATGTGATTTGGGATTCCTTTCCTTTTTTTGAGATTTAATTCCTTTCTGTTAAAATTACTAATATTAAGATTCTTGTTTGCATCATCACATTATAAATATACACCAATTAAAATAAGTTTTTGCTAAATACATCAAATCTATTGAGCAATGCTAGATGTACACAAAATTTGACACTCCCCACACATGGGGGGTGGGCCCGCGATTTTAAAAATCACGGGCCCCACCTCCCATGTGAGGGGAGTGTCAAACTTATTGTATACAAAAGTGTACAACAAGAATTATCCAAATCTATTTTACAAATATAGTTCTAATTTAACTTATAAGAAGAAGAGAGAGAAGAAGAAAATGTATAGTATTAATTCATAGTCATTAAAAGAAGAAATTTCTTCTATCTAAATCCAGAAGAACATAAGAATTTTGTGAGATTTACCTTCTGCAAAGAGCAGTCGAGAGGATGAATGAGAAGCTACTGAAGAAATAATTAGAGCCTAATGCTGATGTTAAAGAAATTTATACCCAAAATCATATGTATACATTGCATGGTGTAAGATTATGTTTTTGAGAACTACAATATTTTATCATGTTCTTCATATAAATATCAAATTTTAACTGAATTTCATAAGAAAAAGAAAAAAAAAATTCTTAAAACTTCATTGAGGTTTAAGTGGAATAATTAAGTTTCCCTTATAACTAGAAAAGGCAAAGGTTGAATGGATGTGAGTCCACAAGTTCTCGCACGTCGAGGTCATCTCATAATCATCTTATCATTGAAGGCGATTCCATATGCTCTTCAAGTTTAGCTCGGCAATTTCTTATTACATATGCATAGACTCGCAAGATGATTTCTACACCTGTACCTCGTTATGCAAGATGATCATATTATAAAACCCTCCACATAGGAACTAAGCTAAGAATCTAAAATGAACTTAACTCAATTTGATTCGAAGAACATATGAGGGAGCCAGGGACCTATTGAAGCCCACCTATGTCGATTCATTGAGGAATTTTATGTAGTCCAACAAGAAAGCTAAGTTAAGAACTCAAAGTAGACTTACCTAGTTTGTCCTACATGAGCCAACTCTATTTGATTAAGGAGCCAGTGACCTATGGGGGCTCGCCTCTTTTAACACATTGAGAAATTTTATGTAGCCTTGGCAGGGGAGTCAAGTTAATAATACAAAGTAGACTTACTTCGTTTGATGTGCACAAGCCAACAGCAAAGTACCTTTTGATGAATTTTATGTTGTCTTGACAGTAGTTCCAGTATTCAATGAGAATGCATAACCCATGCAAGAAAATTATAATTCACGCAATACTTCTACATTTATACAATTCCGACCCATACAAAAATGTACCACTCAGACTTCGAAGACTGGTGTTATACTAGTATTCTACAAGCATGAATGTCATGTTGATATTTTATTATTGCCAGCATATTACTCTCTCCACGCCTGCTACTACAAGAAATTTATGTTTTTCCTACAAAATTTATTTGTAGGGAAATGTTCTTATTTGTCGGAAAAAACTTTTACGGACGAAAAAAATTTGTGGGGCAAACATTGAGGGGATAAGTAAAAGACACTTCATAAGTTCTCACTTTCTTTGGATCGACTTATTCTATGAAGGCACTTTGTATCCTCTCACTTTGTTGACAACTCATATTTTAAAGTCCGGCCGACATATAAATGTATGACTCAGACTTGAGAGAGTATGATATACTAAGAATTGCATTGTGTACACGTGGTAGCTAGGAGGACTCAAGTTAGCACTGGAAATTGATATTGAACCAGATTAAATCAAACCACTGGCCTGATTCAATAGCATATCTTGGCCAAATGCCTCTTAATATGTGAGTCCTTGCAGTCAAAAGTTAAGTGCACTCAAACCCTAGCCAAATTCTCTATTAATTATCTTTCTTACACTCATTCTATTTCTTATTATGACAATTGACCTAAAACAATGTCACGTTTTACTAACAAAAACTTTTTTTTGGAACGATAGCCTTATCACCAAAGCAATTTTCTAGTGTGCAAGCAAGTGATGCATAGATAGATGGGGAGGTGGCCGTGATTTGTTGACTACTTGATCGGACATATTTGAGTCAACACAAATCTTTCAACTAGAAAATTTTTTTTTGAAAAAAGATCTTAAAACAAGCCCTTAATCCGTCTAAAAATCATTCCCTATTCTCGAATGGATTTAAAAAATAAAATAAAATCTGCAGACCCTCAACTTTTAAATTCGATTCAAAGACGAAAGGGTGGTCTTTCAAAATTGGTCGTTGTGCGTCACCACCTCATACGTGGCAAGCAGGAGAAGCTTAATGATGACACTTAAGAAGTGATAGGGATGCACAACTGAAAGTACAAAAGCACCCCCTTAAGATTGCTGATCCATGCTTCGACTGTAACAAAACTCGTGCTAGTTTTATTCAATTCCAGAAATTGATGCAGAAAGGAAGTGTTCTGTGTTTATGCCATTCTTTTTGGCTTTTTGGTCTTATTTTTTAAAATTTATTTTCCTTCAAATTTCTTTTTAATTATACATTTTATGGGACCCACAATTTATATCAAATTTTCAACTATACATTTTATCTTTATTAATTAAGATTTCCAAAGCCAAAACTCTTTAAACTTCCTTTATTCAACCAAACATTAAATCACGTGAAATTTGAGTCACATCACAACAGATCAAATTTTTGTAAAGTTATTCTAGTCGAACAAGCACTTCTAAAAAAATACTCAATAATAATTTTTTAATTTCATAAACAGTTTTTAATTTTTTAAAAAGTTTTATCAAAGGAGCCCTACATATGGCATGGGGTAAACAGATTTGGTGTATGTTTAGTCCATTTGCTTCCCAACTTTTATGTCCAAGCAAATTTTCGATTTCTCCATCCCATACTACCATTTCTAGTCAAACAAAGCGGCATGAACAGCGCCACAATTACAAAATTCAAAACCTACGAAAAAAAGTGGCGTTTCAGTAGAGCGAGTACCATCAACGTTGTACTCTCGAGATTTGATCTTTGACAGCTGTCGTATTTATGACATCATTGGAAATAGTGATATGCGAGAGGGCAAAATTGGAAACAGATATTTTGCATGTAGAACTCGATTTTAGAGGCTCATATTACCGGACGCGTAGCGGTGGCACAACCAGCTTTCGCCAATTGTGGGCTTGCCACTGTGAAATTATATACAGGGGTAGTCAAGATTAGATACACTTTGGGTAGAGTAAGAAAACTGAACTTTTAGAGAGAGAAAGGGTGGTGGTGGAAATGGAGGGGTGCAAAAGTAGGATGTGTTCATGGTGGATGACTTCTTCTTCTAAAATTCTTTTTGGGCTTATGGTGCCATTGATTGTGGTTACTGGGCTGGTGGCTTTGATGGGTTCAAGCTCTTCCAATTGGCTGTTCAAGTCAAATTACTATCCTTGGGTGAGTAGTGCTCCTTTTGCTGGTAACTTGAATTTAAGTGCTGCTTTGTCGACGCCCAAGGACGGCGGAGTGAGGTTGGATTTGCGGTGGAGGGTGGTGGGTGGTGGAGAAAGAGAGGATGCGCGTTCAGATGACTACGGTCTCAACCGCTCCGCTTCGCCACCGCTTGCCGTTGAAACCAGAGAGCATACACAAGAAGACATTGTAAGATCCTGTAAATTTGTATATGCCTACTTTACACAAGTTAAAAATTGTATGTGTTTTCTGTTTATTTCTTTTTATCCATAAAACCTGCCACCTAAAAAATAAATAAATTGTATATGCCTACTTTTCTTCAAATTTTGTGACGGGATTCCAAAATGACCCATGACTTAAAATTTGTTTAAAAATGATTTTTTTTTTTTAAATGAAAAAGAATTGAGAGTAACATAGGCGCTGTTTGATTATAACGAATTCCATGAAAAATGTAACATCCGAGGAAAACGAATTTCATTTTAACCATTTGATTGCAATGTAGAAATGGAAACAGAATTACAAGGTACAACTACTTTGAATTGTATTTTCTTCGTTTTTATATAAAACGAATTCATATGTGTTTGATGGGTTTTTATTTTCCAACTAATATGAAATTGAAATTCATTTCCACATTTGCCAGACCATTTTTTTAGTGAAAATAAGGTGAAGAATGATTGATCTGGACTGCCTTTTGGTCTCTTGCACACACTAAGTTTTAGTCTTGAATCTCTAAATTTTAGTTTAAAGTTTGCTATAAATTGGTACTATTTCTGTATGGTATTGGATATTCAATTGTAGATTTTGTGCTTACCCTGGGAACAGGTAGAAAAGAAGGAAGAGATTCTTATTATCTCGAGAAATAGATCCCATATTTTACCATCATTCAATGAAACTCATGCTCTTCCAATGAGTTCAAGAACAAAAGGAAAATTCAGCAATTTAGAAATGCTTGAGGCCAAACTGCAACAAGCACGAGCTGCAATTAGAGAAGCAAAAAATGGGAACCAAATGAAAGACTCAGACTACATCCCAACAGGTCCAATCTACTTGAATTCGAACGCGTTTCACAGGTAACTAATGTTTTGATTGAATACATTAGTATGCCGTGGGAGAAAATATGGTACACACTAATTTGACATATTCTTGGAGCGGAGATTTAATGTGTTTTGAGCTTCAGGAGTTATTTGGAAATGGAAAAGCAGCTCAAGGTGTTTGTGTATGAAGAAGGAGAGCACCCTATTTTTCACAATGGTCCTTGCGGGAGCATATATTCTGTGGAGGGATATTTCATTCATAACTTGGAGATTTCAAATTTTCGAACAAGGGATCCTGACAATGCGCAAATTTACTTCCTTCCGATTAGCGTGACATCCATAGTTCACTTTATTTATGACAAGAATATTAAACATCGTTGGCGTCCAATGAAGCAAACTGTCAAGGACTATGTTGATCTTATTGCTGGGAAATATCAGTATTGGAATCGAAGTCTTGGGGTCGATCACTTCATGCTTTCTTGCCATGATTGGGTAATGAAAATTACTTTGCTTTGCTGCTTGTCGCTCTGGTCTGGGTCTGATACTGTATTTGGGTTTAATTTTGGTTCAATTTTCTTGCAATGAACTCTATTCTATCTAACTGCATTTCATAGGGTCCTGAAATTTCGAAATCTGTTCCCGAGCTATTCAAGAACTCAGTTAGGGCTTTATGCAACGCAAATACCTCGGAAGGGTTTGAACCCTCAAAAGACGTGTCAATTCCCGAGATCAATTTACCCGGTGGTAGAATGAATGGTTTGATTGGTGGTCCTTCTCCATCAAGACGACCATTTTTGGTTTTCTTTGCCGGAGGCCTTCATGGTCCTATTAGGCCAATTCTTCTAGAGCATTGGGAAAACAAGGATGAAGATGTCCAAATCCATAAGTACCTTCCAAAGAATGTCTCTTACTCTGCAATGATGAGAAAGAGCAAGTATTGCTTATGTCCAAGTGGCTACGAAGTTGCAAGTCCAAGAATGGTCGAGGCATTATATACCGGTTGTGTTCCTGTACTCATTAAAGATCACTATGTTCCACCATTCAGCGATGTTTTGAACTGGAAGTCCTTCGCCGTCATAATGCCAAAAGAGGATATTCCGAACATGAAGAAAATTCTAACAGCAATTTCGACGAGACAATACATACGAATGCAAAGAAGGGGAAAACAAGTGAGAAGACATTTCGAGGTTAATGTCCCTCCAAAGCGATACGATGTCTTTCACATGATACTTCATTCAGTCTGGCTTAGAAGACTCAACATTCAACTTCTTGGGTTATAAGTCGTTGATTCACGAAAGTTTGCTGTATATTAGTGGACAGCAACAAGATTTTAATTGTTTTTTCCATTTTGTGTAGTTCAACCCGTATAATGTGCAATTAGACTAAGTGGTAGTTAATTTATTAATATTTTAATGTTGTTAGTCCGATCGCCTTCTGGGGATGAGAGGTTCAATAAAGATAAATTCTATTTTGTGGGTAATATTTCTCTAGACTGCAAGTTGATCTCACAAATTAGAGGAAAGATTTGAAGAATTATACAGATTTAGTGGATATTTTAGTTAGTTTCTAAATTTTAGAGAGAGGAACATTTCTATTTTTATATTTCTGAATTTCCTTTGTTTCATGTTCATAATAATGACTAAGAGTGTGTTTGATCGATATTATTAAGAAAATAATGTATTTTAAATAATGATATAATGGAAAATATGAAGTTCAAAAGTAAGAAAAAATTATTAATGTCATGAAAAATATTATTTTATTGAATAATGTGTGGTTGAAAATGAGTTTTGAAAAAATGTGTGTCAAAAATGAACTAATATTGCTCTCTTTTGAAATTAAGAGAGAAGAATAAGGATCCGATTGATAGGCAATTATGGAAAGAAATTCAAATTCCATGTTAGTTGGAAAATAAAAATTCATCAAATTCATAGGAATTCGTTTTCCATAAAAAAAAAAGAAAATGCAGTTTAAAGTGGCTATAAATTGAAATTCGATGGCAATTATGGAAAGAAATTCAAATTCCATATTAGTTGGAAAAAAAAATTCATCAAATTCATAGGAATTCGTTTTCCATAAAAACAAAGAAAATGCAGTTTAAAGTGATTATAAATTGAAATTCGATGGCAATTATGGAAAGAAATTCAAATTCCATGTTAGTTGAAAAATAAAAATTCATCAAATTCATAGGAATTCGTTTTCCATAAAAACAAAGAAAATGCAGTTTAAAATGGTTATAAATTGAAATTCGATTTTCATTTTTACATTACAATCAAACGGCCAAAGTGGAATTCGTTTTTCTCGAATATTATATTTTCCATGAAAAATGTAGCAATCAAACATGATCTAAGAGAACAAGAGAATATTCAAAATTATTGGGTATTTTATTAAGAATCAAATCATGGTAGAATAAGAACTATAAGATACAATTATCATTTATAAATAGTATTTAATTACGATATTTCCACTTGGCCTACTGATTAAAAAATAACTATCTTTTTAAAAAATTTGTTTGACAAAAATTCAGCTATTTTGGCGGGATGTACTAAACCCACTACATTCCACATTTAAGGGTATATAGCCTACTAATTAATGATTATTGCAATGTCGGATGATTTTGTTTATATAATATGGGACAAAATTATCAAACGAAGAAAAAATGAGTACAAGAAACTGGAGCATTAAAATGATATCTCGTTAAAATCTTGTCAAAAAATTCAATAGGACGAAATTTGAACGAACAAAAACAGCACAATTATTCCCCTAATTTCAATAATTGAAGATTCTTGTATCGAGCCATCCATATTTTGTGTACCAACGTCTTCCATGCAACTATCTATATAAAACCTGTATAAAACAATTCTAGCGTTCCAAGTTGATGTCTTTGATAACTTATAACCTTCAAGTAATATCATCTACATAAAATATATTCTTATATCCCTAATAGAATGTATATATTCAACATGATGATTTGATGACAAATACATAAGCTAAATTTCTCTATTATTATTATTATTATTATTATTATTATTATTATTATTATTATTATTATTATTATTATTATTATTATTTAACCAATATCAAGAATACACAAGCCAAATTTTAAGCTCAAAATAATATGCCTCATTGTAGGACTTTTTAAAACAAAGTAGGGCTTCAGTTATTGGACTCAATTTTTTATATAATTAAGAGTGAGTCTCAAACATAATTCTAACTACTAGGAGCTCATTGCTTTCAATATGTAATTCAATATATTTTTAAAGTTATAAAATATGTCAAGAGTAACATAATTTTTTTTCAAGATTTAAATTGTTTTTTTTACTGTTGCAGTCATTTTTTTTCCTTGCTTCTCACACTGGGACCCATTTTACATTAAGCAACGGTAAAAAAATGGATTTTAATCATGTAAAGAGTGGAGTAAGACAAGGGCTACATGTAAGGTATGATACGGATATCAAAATTGAATTTCTTCGAGAGCTATAAGACAATGTATTTTCTAGAATATTGATATACTTCTTCAGGAGCAATGATATAAATTTTAAAAATATTTATGATTCTTCAAGAGAAACAAACTCGATATTCTCTAAAGTAACAAAGTTGTACTCTTCAAGAGTGATAACACAAAATTGGACTTGAAAATTGATATAAACTAAAATTATGCTCCTTCAGAAAGATCAATACAACATTCTTTCAAAATATTGATATATAAAATTTCTTTTTCAATAAAAAAACAATGTATTATGTTTCTAAAATATTAATGTATATAAAATGCACTTTCGAAATAATTATAAATATTGATCAGTAAGAATAACAATACAATAATTCCATTTTCAAGAGCAATAATATGATATTTTTTGCAGAAATAATTTCAAAGTATAAAATTAATTTTATTCAAGAAGAATAACTCAATATTAATTTAGTCATTTAATCTCTACTTCTTCAAGAAGACAGCAAAATATATTCTTCTACAATAATATTATACTAAAGTCATGTTTTTTCAGAAACAAGGTCATATTATTTTAAATTCATAAAGTTATGTTTCTTCAAGAGAGTTATTACGTATTTTTCAAGAGAGATGTGATAATTAGGAATGTTGGGGTACAAAAGTCATTCACAGAGTAATTAATTTATCACTCTCACTTGAATGACTAATTTTACAATATATGCCTCTTCAAAAACCTTGCTCAGTTAAACTTCGATGGTATAAAAAGTACAAAAGTTTAGAGTAATAATATGTTACCTCATTAAAATCTTTATTAGAAATACCTATTGGACAAAATTTGAACGAAAGAAAAAGAGTACAACTACTATCATGATTTGAATTAATGAAAGTCATTGCATCAAGTATTCATTCACCTCTTGTGTGCCAATGTCTTGAATGTCACAATCCGATGAAATATGTTTCAAATTGTCACGTTATAACTTCCTTTTTTTTTTTTTTTAAAACACATTTGTTATCGATTGAAATTTAAATTTTAATCTAAATCAAAGTTAACAATTAATTTTAATAACATATTTTCTTGGAATTCATAACTATTTAATTTGT